CCACCTAAAGAATCCACCTGCAGTGTGGGAGACCTGGGTTTGATCCCTGGGTTGAGAAGATCCCCTTGAGAATAGAACAGCTACCCACTCCAATATTTTAGGCCACCTAAAGAATAGAAAATTGTATAACTTCTTTGGAAAACATTCTAGTGGTTTCAAATGGTTAAATATAGGATTACCCTATGACCTAGCAGTTCCACTCTTAGGTACTTACCTAAGAGAAATGAAAACATATGTCCAAATAACAACTTGTATACAAATATTTGTAGCAGCATTATTCACAATAGTAAAACGGTAGAAATAACCCAAAAGACATCAATCGGTGAGTGAATAAACAAAATGTGATATATTTATACAATGGAATATTACTTGGCCACAAAAAAGAATGAAATGAGGATTTGTGCTACAACATGGATGAACCATGAAAACATTATGCTGAATGAAATAAGCAATACATGAAACACCGCACATTATATGATTCCTTTTATAAAATTGTCCAGAATAGGCATAGCTATGGAGACAGAAAGTAGACCAGTGTTTGTTTAGGACTAGGATGATCAGCTTAAAACTCAATATTCAAAAAACTAAGATATTGGCATCCAGTCCCATCACTTCATGGCAAATAGATGGGGAAACAATGGAAGCAGTGACAGACTTTATTTTCTTGGGCTCCAAAATTACTGCAGATGGTGACTGTAGTCATGAAATTAAAAGACACTTGCTCCTTGGAAGAAAAGCTATGACCCACCTAGACAACATTAAAAAGCAGAGACATGACATTACTACCAAAGGTCTGTCTAGTCAAAGCTATGGTTTTTCCAGTGGTCATGTATGGATGTGAGAGCTGGACCATAAAGAAAGCTGAGTGCCAAAGAACTGATGCTTTTGAACTGTGGTGTTGGAGAAGACTCTTGAGAGTCCCTTGGACTGCAAGGAGATCCAACCAGTCCATCCTAAAGTAAATCAGTCCTGAATATTCATTGGAAGGACTGATGCTGAAGCTGAAACTTCAATACTTTCACTACCTGATGTGAAGAACTGATTCATTAGAAAAGACCCTGATGCTGGGAAAGATTGAAGGCAGGAGAAGAAGGGGATGGCAGAGGATGAGATGGTTGGATGTCATCACTGACTCGGACATGAGTTTGAGCAAGCTCTGGGAGTTGGTGATGGTCACTCCAGGTGAAGCCTGGTGTGCTGCAGTTCATGGTGTCGCAAAGAGTTGGACATGACTGAGCAACTGAACTGAACTGAGGCTGGTCGGGGGTTAGTAAGTGAAAGGTTGTTGATTTTACACACAGAGGCACACCACAGAGTTAGTAAAGTATAGCAGAAAACATGTTTACTAGGAGAGTAAAGAACTAGAGCTTCAATCATCCTTTCCTTGTCTTGAAGATCCCGGACAAGTCCCCAAGATGAAAGGTTGCTGCTGTGAGCTGTGTGTGTGTGTGACCTCCGGAGGAGAGGATTTTGATCCAGGGTCAGAGATGAGGCTTGACTACTTGGAGCTTTTTGTATAGCAAAGTTTTATTAAAGTGTAATAGAGATAGGGAAAGCCTCTGACATACATCAAAAGGGGACAGAAAGAGTGCCTGCCTTCCTAGTTTTTAGCAAGGTGTTTTATGTCTGTTAGAGAGCTATTTATCAGATAAGAGAGATACCTCAAGGCTGAAAGAGTTGCACCAGGCCCCTTTCCCACAATATGCACTTTTGAGATAGGATGGCATGAGGTGTGTCATCCCCAGGCCATAAAACAATTGACAGGAATACTGGTTTGTTGAGCCATTATCTGCCCAAGGTTTGAGGAAAGAAGAAAAGTCTTAGGGGGAACAATTTTGAAGAAAGGCAAATTCCAAAGCAAATACATAGTTTCATTAACATAAGAAAAACACATTGGTTAGCTCAAGGCAGAACCAGGTGTCCTCAACACAAAATTAAAAGAAGCCTCTTCTAATTTTGTGTAGAGAAGTAAAACAAAGTGCCACTTGCAGTTTATTTCCTCCTGCCACTCAGGAACCTCTGGCCTTCCTGCCTGTTAACTCTTTCATAATTAAAGAGTGCAGCTTTCTCTGGGGGATGATAAAAGTGTTCTCAAATTGTTTATGGTGATGACAGTACAACTCTATGAATTTACTAAAATCCATTGAGTTATATGCTCTGAATTGATGAATTATATAGTATGTCAGTTAAATCTCTTGAAAGTTGTTGTAAAAACACAACCAATAGACACAGATACTTTACATGACAAATATTTATATAAGCACTTATAGTTAGATTATCCAGCTGAATTTTATTGTCATTTCATTTTTTAAAATTAATTACCAGAAATTCTGAACATGAAATTTTAGTTAACCAGGTTCTACCCTCCAGTGTTCTTCTTGTTGGCTTCCCCCCCCCCCCCCGCCTTATAGTCTTATTAAAGCAATAAGTTTAAACTCAGGCCTGTACTATGGTGATATGGAATGATATGGAGGCATATGGCACAAGATGCATAGTGATGGGTAGGAATTTTCATCAGCAACAGGAAGTACATTGATTAAACATTTGAAACATTATCTTCAAAGGGTATGACAGTGACAGGAGAGAAGGAAAAAAATTCAGTGGACTTCTTTCTCATTATGGGCTTCCCAGGTGGCACTAGTGATAAAGAACCTAGCTACCAATGCAGGAGACATAAGAGACTCCAGAAGATCCCCGAAAAGAGGGCATGATAACCTACTCCAATTTTCTTGCCTGGAGAATCCCCATGGACAGAGGAGCCTGGTGGGCTACAGTCCATCGAGTTGCAAAGAATCGGACGTGACTGCAATGACTTAGCATGTGCACACTCTCTCATTATGCCAGAATTAAGTTGTTAGTCTTCTGTGGGGAAAAATAACCTCTTCCAAACAAATTGCATAAATGTGAGCAATAAAATAAACTCAAACTGAGTTGAAAAATTTGGTGGAAACATCTTGCAAAAGTCACTTTGCCCCTTGTTAATAGTTTGTAAAAGTTTGACTCTTAAAGCATTATTTAATGGCCATGCTCTCTCTTCTCTTCTTTGATCTAGCAACCAGTTTCTTGAAAGGGTTGGAATAGAAACTATGATCTCTGACATAGAATTACAGTTAGAGAAACTCTTATCATTTATATCTCACTGTAAGTTACTACCATCTGAAGTATCATACCTAACACAGAAGTCCTACAGTATATGTTTTAATATTGATCTGTCTGTCATTATTGGAACCATTGGACAGGAAGGCTTTATCAACTGACATTTTAACCATTCTCTCAAGACCAGCCAAGTCTTCACTGAAAATACTTCCAGTGTTAAGTAGCTCTAAACTGAAAGAACCCACTCCATATGTCAGTAGCCCATTCCAGCCCCCCTCCAGTACTACTCATGACTTCTAAATTAGTATCTTCTTATGTAAAATAGTTAATCAGAACCTAATATAGAGCACGGGCTTTCCAGGTAGCTCAGTGGTGAATAATCTGCCTGCAATGCAAGATATGCAGGTTCACTCTCGGGGTCAGGAAGATTCCCTGGAGGAGGGCATGGCAACTCACTCCAGTATTCTTGCCTGGAAAATCACATGGACAGAGGACCCTAGTGGGCTACAGTCCATGGGGTCGCAAAGAGTCAGGCACAGCTTAGTGATTAAACAACAACTGTGTAGCACAGGGAATGCTGCTCAGTACTCTGTAATAACCTACCTGGGAATGTTGTGCAGTTGCTAAGTTGTGTCTGACTCTCTGCGACCCCATGGACTCTGGCTTGCCAGGTGTCCCTGCCCCTCGCCATCTCCCAGAGTTTGTCCAAGTTCATGTCCATTGAATTGGTGATGCCATTCAACTATCTCACCCCCTTCTCCTTTTGCCCTCAATCTTTCCCGGCATCAGGGTCTTTTCCAGTGAATTGTCTCTTCACATCAGGTGGCCAAAGTATTGGAGCTTCAGCATCAGTCCTTCCAGTGAATATTCAGGGTTGATTTCCTTTAGGATTGCTTGGTTTGGTCTCCTTGCTGTATGGGAAAGTGAAAGTGAAAGAAAGTGAAGTTGCTCCGTTGTGTCTGACTCTGTGCAACCCCATGGACTGTAGCCTGCCAGGCTCCTCCGTCCAGGGGATTTTTCCAGGCAAGAATACTAGTGTGGGTTGCCATTTCCTTCTCCAAGGGATCTTCCCAACTCAGGGATCGAACCTGGGTCTCCCATACTCCTGGTAAACTCTTTACCATCTAAGCCACCAGGGAAGCCCAAGTGAAGTGAAAGTTGCTCAGTCGTGTCCAACCCTTTGCGGCCCCATGGACTGTATAGTCCATGTTTGAATTCTCCAGGCCATAATACTGGACTTGGTAGCCTTTCCCTTCTCCAGGGGATCTTCCCAACCCAGGGGTCAATCCCAGCTCTCTCACATTGCAGGCAGATTCTTTACCAGCTGAGCCACAAGGTAAGCCCTGCTGTATGGGAATAGAATCTAAAAGAGTGGGTAAGTATGTGTGTATGTATAACTGATTCACTTTGAAGTACTGTAGAAACTAACATAATACTGTAAATCAGATATACTCCAATAAAAATCAGTTAAACATAAATGAATATCTACTTCATCTTCAGCACATAAGGACTCAGCCGTGTCCAGTCCCACGTGGACACTGTGGTACCATCGTAGCAGGATAATTATTACCTACCCTCATGAAGGCATTCTCCATTGGTCATCTTTTTTTTTTAATTAAAATATATATTTTAAAATTTTGCAATGTTGTAATGTTTTCTGCTATATAGCAATACTAATCAGCCATAATTATACATATGCCCCCTGCCTCTCTAGTCTCCCTTCCCTACCCCCTCTCATCCCCCCAGGTCATCATACAGCGCCAGTCATCTTTTCTTACTTTGAGAATTATTACTCTAATCAAAGTAATGACGTACATTATTTTAATGTCTTTGCTTACAAAATAGGAAGTATGAAAAGGAATAGTCCATGGCATTGTTCCATAACTTGTTCATTGTGCCTGTAGGCTACTCTGGATATCAGGATTATTACCCATATGGCGGGCGAGGTGCTTATGAAGATGTCCCCAGGAACTACGACACGTACACCGCGGGACTGAGTGAAGAGGAGCAGCTGGAGAGAGCATTGAGAGCCAGCCTCTTGGACCAAGGTAGGGGATTTGCACCCTTCACTTATTTTAAAGTACATACCTCACATGGTGTGATGTCTGAAAAAGGGCTGTTAGTAGCAAATTAAACTTTAAATAGTTTATAAAAAGGAGATGTAGATGAAAAAAATGTGTGCAGATTGTGATTACAAAGAATGGGGTGCGATGCCATATTCCCAGCAACCTAAGCTAATAAGGTGCCAGACTATGTATGTATTGTTAAAGTGGTTCTTTTTATAGGCCTGCTGCACTCAGTGCTTTGGCATTAAAGTCAAGAAACCTAAGAAAAAAATTCTTAGGTATATGAACGAAGGGTTTGCTTTGGAATGCATATCTATAAGTCAGGCTATGTGGCACTATACATCAAAGTGTCGCCCACAAGCCTTCTTCAGAATCACATGGGCAGCTTGGTGAGAATGCAGACTCAGGGTTTGGCTGCAGGGCTGCTGAACCAGTCTCCCTGCGAGCAGAACCTAGAAATTTGTATTTTTAACTGACTTTGAGACGACTCTTTTACCAATTAGTGTATGAAAAGAAAGTGAAAGTGAAGTTGCTCGGTCGTGTCCAACTCTTTGTGACCCCAGGGACTGTAGCCTACCAGGCCCCTCAGTCCATGGAATTTTCCAGGCAAGAGTACTGGAGTAGGTTGCCATTTCCTTCTCCAGGGGATCTTCCTGACCCAGGGATCGAACCCGGGTCTCCCACTTTGCAGGGAGATGCTTTACTGTCTGAGCCACAAGGGAAGCCCTATGTGAAATAGTATATGAAAACCGCCCTATTTATTTTGCCATCTTTCTTCTAGGTTTGGTAATAAGTTTTGGTATTCCTGTTTTTATTGTTTGTCTGTCTGAGTGTTAGTCACTCAGTCATGTCCAGCTCTTTGTGACTCCATGGTCTGAAGCTTGCCAGGCTCCTCTGTCCATGGAATTCTCCAGGCAAGAATATTGGAGTGGGTTGCCATTCCCTTCTCCAGAGGAATCTTCCCAACCCAAGCCTCACACATTGCAGGTGGATTCTTTACCATCTGTGCCACCAGGGAAGCCCTTTTATTGTTTAGTAGTGACTAAAAATCATCTGTTGATTCGATAAGCATTTATTAAGGTCTTGTTATGTTTCATGTACTATGTTAGGAAATACAGAAAGGTTAAAAAAAGGGGGGGGAATCTTCCCCCACAAAGTGTAATTTCTGATAGGGGAGAGGTCTGTTAGATGCCACTATTCTTGAGTTGCTGAGCTGTGTCTGACTCTTTGAGACCCCATGGGCTGTAACCCGAGAGGTTCCTCTGTCCATGGAATTTCCCAGGCAAGAATACTGGAGTGGGTTGCCATTACCATCTCCAGGGGATCTTCCCAACATCTTCTGCATTGTCAAGAGGATTCTTTACTCTTGAGCCACCAGGGAAGCCTGCTCAATACCATAAGTAACCATAATATCAGGTACCTAAGAGAGGCTTCAGCCATTTGCTGGAATCAGTGAGAAGGGGTGAGCTTTTTCTTAACTAGATCTATTAGAGTTTCACAGAAGAGGTGGTATTTGAGCTTATGCTTGAAGAATGTGTAGCATTTGCTGAGATGTGGAAGGGCCTTCCAGGCAGGAATCATATCCTCTCAGACACAAGAGTAAGGGGTGTGGTCATCCCATCCTCGCTTTTGAATAAAGTGCTAAGAGAAGGGGAAGAAGAGTGGGCAGCTAGGCTGGGGCCTGATCACAGAAGTCCCAGACTTAGATAGGCCACGTGGAAAATGGGTCTGGTATATGATGTAACCTCCAGTAAGAGTTCTGCATGGGAGAGTGATGTGATCAGAGCTGTGTTTCATGGATCCAGCAACAGTCATGCCAGGAACAAGGACTGAGCATGAATGGGGGCTATCAGGCATTTTACAACATATGGCTGGAGCACACAGGTTCCCACAACTTGGTTTCTAATGTTAGGAATACGGTCTTAGCAGTAAGAGTGTTCATGGAGGTGAGCAGTGACAGCAAGAGGGAAGACAAATCAGAAGACTTAAAGTAGTCTAATCACAGAGCGAAGTCTGGATGATGAAGGTGGCTGAGGCAATGGAGAGGAAGAGATAAATCAGGACTTCTCAGATGAAGAGTATCAGCACTGTGGTCTGTCAGTCGTCTATTACTGGGTAAAATCGCCCAGACACACTTGGCCTAAAACAATACATACTTCTTCCCCATATATGGTTCCGCACGGATGATCCCATGGGCCAGGCTTCGCTGGTCTAGGCTGGTGTGCTGAGGGGTCTGCAGTGGTCAGCTGGGGCTGGCTGTTCTAGGACAGCCTCCTCTACCTGCCTGCCTGACTGCTGTCTGATGCGATGGTGGCGATCGGTCTACATGTGACCCGTCATCCAGCCGGCCAGCCCAGGTTCGTTCACCAGGCCTCAGCCCGAGGGTTCCCAGGGAGAATGTGGGAACATCCTTAGGCTGGTGCGTTGTTGGTTCTGCTGTATTTTGTTACCGAAGAAAGTCAGGAGACCAGACAAGATTCAGGGGATAAGGAAGGAGATTCCTCCTCTTCCTGGGCAGAGCTGTAGAGTCGCATTGCAAAGAGGATGCACGGAAGCAAAGATGGATAACCAGGAATATTCTTGCCATCACCAGCTTTAATGGACTGGCAGTATCACAGTCACTGGAAGCGTGCCTTAGCCTTGGAATCCTAAACGCTGGGACAAGGCCCAGAGGCTGTATTTTAACAAATTCTAAAGGTTAGTCCTGGGCACAGCAGGTGCTTAATCACTCCAGGGTGAGACATGAAATATTATGGGAGGTAAGGATATTATATATTTAATAATTTAATTTGGGGCAAACCATAGTCTTAACAGAACTGTGTCTGAATTTGTTACCTTGGACTGTCCATTGCATGTAATACGGTATGCTCTATTGGATGTAAATCTTAGAAGTGCAGTAGAAATGTTATCACTGATAAAAATATTAATCCCTGTGTATCACACACACACAAAAGTAAGGAAGTCAGGACAAAGCTACTAAGCCTGGACTTTGTACAAAACTTTATTTAGTACCATAGAGAGACAACAGGAGGGGATTTTTGGACTGATGGCAATATTCTGTATCTTGGTCGTTGTGATGGATATTCTGCTCTTGGTGTTTGTCAAAACTCACCTAACTGTATCCCACAAAGAACATTTTCCTTAAAAGGAGTTTTAAAAGATGTAAGTATAAATTAGCAAGAAACCCAATGAAATAACTGGTAGTCTTGCAAACAAACACTATAAAAATCATTAGTGAAAGGTCTTAGTTAGAAATGAAACATTGTTATAACTGATTCACTTTGCTTACACCTGAAGCTCACTCAACATTGTCAAATAGCTATACGCCCCCCACCAAAACAAGAAAAAGAAACAGGTCATTCACATGGTGATAAAGGGTCACTTCCTAGAGGGCATGTTAATAGGGAAGCAGGGAGACTTAGGATTCACCACCTGAACCCAGTGATCAAACCTGGCAGCATTATTATGGGATGGCCTGATAGTCTATATCTCCTGATGCGATGCCGTATGAGGAACACGGCATCGACTATGACACAGTCCTACTAAAAACGCTTGGTCTTCCAGAGTAAAGGTCCATATACAGGAAATACATGGAATAGAGGAATAAGTCAAGACATATAAAACATGAGGTTTCTACAATTCAGTGAGACTGGTCTCCTGGAAAAAAATCAATGTCAGAAAAAAAGCAAGATGTGATTTTTATATTAAAAGGAAAACAAGCAAACACAAGCACCTTGAAAAACTGGTTCTTATAAAGAGACCTTTTTTGAGGAAACAGAAACTTCGTATTTGGGCCATATGTCAGATGTTATTTGGGAAATAGACTAACTTTCTTTGAGGTGACAATGGTATTATGGATAAGTAACAGAAGGTCTCTTATTCTTGGGAGATACCACTGAAGTATTGTATTTGGAAGCAAAGTAATATGTCTGCAACTTCCTTTCAATTTTTAGCTGAAAACAGCTCTCTCCTCTTCTTCTCATTCACTCACTCAAATAAAGGTGAGAAACTGCAAACTTTACCCTGCAATATATCTCTTGAAAATCCAGAGTGACAATACTGACAATTCTAATTAGTTCTACAATTGAGAAACCAATTTATGAAAGTAATGTTTTCCCAACTTAATTGACCACAGAACTTCATTTTCAATTAATGTTTTTAAGAGCATATGGAACTGGTTCCAATGAAACTGATCTGAAGAGATCTCTTGAAGTGTATATATGTATAATAATGGGCGATAGCAAAGGAAATAACTTCGCAAATTGTTTATATTAATTTCAATTTTATTTCCCTTAAAACATTTCATGACTGTCTTACTAAGCGTGAGAAGTCAAGGAGACATTTAAAAAAATGGACTTTATTATTTTTTAGCCTTATTTCCTGTAGAAAATTGTTTGGTTTATTTTATAACCATTGACCATTATGGTAGGTACCTTTGTTTTGAACCTTACTTTTTTTCATTCATTATTATGTTGTAATCATCTTTTCATGCCATTAAAAACTTTGAAACATACAGATCCTCCATATATTTTCTTAAACTTACACCTGTTTCTTTTTTTGGTTTAAAGACTGGAGATCTTTTTTAAAGACGACAGATCTGGAGATCTGTCGCAAAGAGTTGGACACTACTTAGTGACAGAACCTGCAGGCACAGTGTGTTATTAATAATAGTATTTTTAATTGTGTGTTTGTTGAGATCATTGTATATTTTTCTTCTTTAGTCTATTATTAATAACTTAGTAAATAATTTCGATTTTCAAACTCTGTCCTTGGAATTCTCCAGGCAAGAATACTAGAGTGGGTTGCCATTCCCTTCTCCAGGGGATCTTTCTGACCCAGGGATCAAACCTGGGTTTCCTGCACTGCAGGCAGATTCTTTACCATCTGATCCACCAGGGAAGCCCCAGTCTATTATTAATAACATACTAAGTAATTTTGACTTTCAAACTTGAAGCAGGTTTGCAATCCCAGGTTAAATCTCATGTGTTTGTGATGTTTATGGTGCATCTTGGTGAAGGGCCATGTGTACCCAAAAAGACTGTGTGTTCTGCTCTAGTTGGATGGGGTATTCTACAAATGTTAATTATATTAATTCAGTTGAAAGTGTTGCCCAGGTCTTCTAATCCCTGCGGATTATCTTGTTCTTGTCTACTTGTTCTATTGAGCAGTGTATTTTGAATTTTGTAGAATTACTATAATATTGAATATGTACTATAAGGTTGCCCTCAGTGTACCAACAGCTTTGAATTCCTCCACTGTTACCTTGTTTCTGGGTGGGGGCTGATGTGGCTGAGTGTTTCTCAGTGTCTGCTTGGACTTCATTTTTAAGTCCTTGTGCTGTAACTGGGTTAGGTACTCTGTCCCTTCCCTTACCCCTCCTCTGGTGGGTGGCACACCACTGTTACTCATTGTTGTTTAGTCGCCCAGTCGTGTCCAGCTCTTTGTGACCCCGTGGACTGCAGCACACCAGGCTTCCCAGTCCTCCACTATCTCCCGGAGCTTGCCCAAACTCAAGCGCATCAAGTTGGGGATGGCATCTAACCGTCTCATCCTCTGTCGCCCCCTTCTCCTCCTGCACTCAGTCTTTCCCAGCATCAGGGTCTTTTCCAGTGAGTTGACTCTTCTCATCAGGTGGCCAAGGTGTTGGAGCTTCAGCATCAGTCCTTTACTCTTTCCTGACCCAGGTGTTGAACCCAGGTCTCTTGCATTGCAGGCGAATCCTTTACCATCTGAGCCAACCAGAGAAGGCCCATTTACTTGTTGCTCTCTGCTTTTTAGCCTGGCCACGGGAGGCTGGTGCGGGGTGTGCTCTAACTAAGCCTAGTCCAAGAAGTCGCTGTGTCCCTTGGTTTGGAGGCATGGTCTTTTCAGTGTCCCTGACCCTCCCTCCGGTTTAGAGGTGTTTTTTTTTTTTTTCCTTCCTCTTCCTTTTTCTAAGCTGCAGAAGGCTCTCCCCATTTCCCTAAGGGAAACTTGGTTTTTGTCTTTCTTGCAGGCATTTGAGTCTTTTGTTCCTTAGGGACAGTAGGGAAGAAGGGTCCAGGCAGTCTTTCCTGCCGTGGCTGCTGTTCTGGCCCTCAGGACTACCCCAGGAAGGACAGAGGACGAAGGACACATGCTCTGAACTCACCAGAGTCTTTATAAGGACCACGGGAGGTCCTGAGAAGAGCCTGAAAGTTGGGTTGAATTCCTTCATATTGCAGCCCCCTATGTGTTCTGTGTTATGTATTCTAAGAATATAATCTTGCTCGCTGTCTCCCTGCCTTAGCAGTGTGTTAACAGTGTTGGCTGAATTCTCCTAGGTGTCCTTTAGAGCTGTCCTGGGTAAACAAGGCCTCCTGTAACATCTCGGACTTCAAATTAGCTGACTGCCCTACTGCCATCCCTTTCTCATAGGTTCAGGACAGAATATTAGTTTGCAAATTGTCCAGCATTTATGCTTAAAGATGATAGTGGTGCTTTTTCCAGTTTTCTGTATCCCCAGTGGAAACCAGAAGTGTTTCTGAATCTTCATTGGGGGTTTTAATTTATCATCTTAGTACATTTATTTATTAGCTTTTTTATTTTTAAATAAGGAAAATCTTCCCCTCATGAAGAAGATAGAATCTATAGGCTTGTTTTAAAAGGCAGGGTAAATGCTCAGTTCTTTTTCTTTGATCCCCAGTTTTCAGAAAAGAAGTTAGCATAATAGTCACCAATAATACTGGGATATGAAAGGGCCAAATTGTGGAAATTCATTTGGCAGAATACCAGTCCAGCAAGAAACATCCAGCCCCAAATTAGTTTCAGACCTCTCTTTAGTTGGATATACTGGAAGAGTAAATTAAAGAATCAAGGTAGCAACTTTTTTAACCTCAGAATTTGCTGTTGTCATATTTCTTAACAGTGTACCTGGCTATAATTACAAGTCCTAAAGCTCATGCCAGGAATAATAATACCAAAGGAGCCTTTGTAGAAGAAATATCAAAATCCCTATTATTTCAAGAGGGTTTTGCACATTTACTACCATTAACAGAAATCTTGTCCTGTTCCGTTGGCAGTCTCAGCTTTTATAAATGAATCCAAGAGGCAGCTGATGCCACAATAATAGAAAAATTCTGGATGAGAGCCATCTCTTTCTTTGAGTCAAAAGGCAGATGCCAACTAGGAACATTAGCTCATTGCATTTTCCTCTCCCCCTCCCCCACATCCTTCCATGTATAATTTGTGCCTTTTTTTTTTTTTTTTTTAAATAGCCTGCCACCAAGTTCAGCTGTCAGTTGGGTACAAAGCTGTGTCCTTTTCAACTTCTGTCTGCCAGCCTGGAGCATGTGTACTGGTTTAAACTGGAAATCCTCATGACATGTGGAGTAACGTGTGTTGCTTTTCCTAGACTCCTCTGAGGCAAACGGCCACAGTCACACTCTGGCTCTCTTGTGAAAATCAAGCAGAGGTGTCACCCCCTCCCCACACTGTACAGTTGGGGTTACTGGCTGGCCATATGTGGAGCTATGGTGGGATAAACTATAATACAAAGGTCTTGGCTTTAGATTGAAATGGGTTCCTGCTTTGTCTCTTAAGTCCTCACATGTAATATTAACCAGGGGAGCCATACTGGAAAAGAGTATCTAGGTTCCAAATTAGTATGTAGGGCTTTTGTTGCTAAAAGATCACTTGACAGTATCTTTGAATCCTGTTTATAGGCATTTATATTCATAGGGACCAATTCAGGTATATTTTAAGTGAAAAAACAAAGAGAGGATTTAACTGAGTTGTCTGTTTTGCCTTTTATTGAAGCTACACCAAAGTGTATGCAAATGACATTTGTTTATTATTGTATGGAAAATTTTGAAAAAAATGGAGTAAATTACATACATGTTTTTAATCTTTCATCACATGGTACATCATATGGTACGAAGAGAAAAGGCTTAGAACCGCAGTGGTCTGAGCATCAGTCCTCACTGAACTAACTTTACTTGAGATGTGTGTCACTGAACCTAATCAGATGTTTGCTTTATTACTATTCTTTTTTTAATAATGAGAGAGTTAAAGTGGGTCCCCTTCAAAGTTTTCTTTCTTTTCCATTCTTCTGTGGTAATGGACTGAGTAGGCAGGCATAGCCAGAAAGAAATGGGGACATTGAGAGGTGTCGGGCATTGACTCGTTTGTCATCTAGGTCTCAGGGCTGCTGGCTAAAAGATCATTTCTGTATCAAAAGATAAAGTCACACTACTGTCTAAGGCAGATCTCCATTGATATGTAAATACGTTTGATGGTGGTACCTTCTTTAGTTGCTTGATTATATGAGTCTTCACTGGCCCAATGCAGGCATGATGCAGTTGGCGATTTTTAACGTATGCAAATGTTCACGGCTGGCCTGCTTGGCTTTGCAGGCGTGTTGGAGGCCAGGACAGAGATGCACTGCTCATTCTGTGTGACCACTTAACTTTTTTTTTTTTAAGTAATTTGATGTGTTTTCCCCTAGGAAAACTTTCTCTATAATGAAAAAGTGCCATCTGCCAGATTTCCTAAAAGCAATTTCATTGCAGAATGCTTCCTTTAGATTACTGGTTCTTACTCCCTACTCTCGACATTAGAGATATTCATTTCAATGAGTAAAGTTTGATATTCGAGACTGTAGCTGGATGTGAAATTGTGCGTGTAAAGAAATATAAATACATGCTTTTTCAAACCTGTGAGCTAACATGTGAATATATCCCAGTCAGGAAGGGAAAGAATAAAATAAGTGGACCAAGGTTCTGTTTAGGTTGCTATTGGGAAGGAGCAGTCTTCTGTTGAGATTTTATACTTAGATTAACTCTATCTTGGCCACTGCTAAAATAAAAAAAATAAAAATAATGATACATGGAATTGAAACATATTTGAGAAATTGACATTAATAGTTCTTTGTGAATTATTTTATAATTTTCCCTTTGCCACCTACCCCCACAATCACATTTAAAGTATTATTCAGATGCTAATGAGTAGATTTAACAATAAACAAAACTCTAATGAAGTAGTTCCACCCACCCACATCTTCTCCATCCTGTTTTGGGGGCTAGCAAGTCTTAGTGGTTGCAGGAATGTTGCCTGGTGGATTGGTCACGTTGCTCTGGATGACTGTTCATTCTGTTCCTTAGCAAATCCCTCTTGGAGTCCCTTGTCTGTGTGTGATACTGTTGAGTAATAACAGGGTACAGAAATGAGTAGGTCTTCTTCTTTGTTATCAAACCCAAAGTATTATTCTTTTTGCTGAATGACAGGAGATTTAAGTGACTTCACTTCAACTACCCCAATATATTGGATTTAGGAAAGAGATAAAGTAACCTTTGAAATGGGTTGGTCCCTTTACTTATCCATCTATGAAATTCTCTGATTCAGCAACTATGATTCCTTAAGCTATGTAAGAATTTTATAGGATATCAAATTTATTAATATGATTTGGATACTCAGGTTATCTATACAATTTTTTCTTTTTTTAATCTGCACAATCTCTAATACCAAAGTTATTGATAGGTATATTCAGTGTCTCATAAGATCAGACTGGAGAAAACTCTTTTAATATAGGCCTGTTTAAGAGATTCTTCATTCCTATAAAATGTTTTAACTAGGAAGAGGGTTGTAAAATAGTGCTTTAAAATTATAGTAGATTCTATATTCTTATTAATCAAACAATTGGAGGTGTGAAAATTTTTTTAATTTTATGTATCTATACTAAAATAGGAAACAAAACATATTCTCTTTTTTTTTGGAGCTAAAGGCCTAGACTTTGTTTCATTGACTCAGCAGTTGATATTTTAATGAATAAAATTAAATAAATTAACTTTTTTAATTTGAGCCTTTCTTGTAACATATACCATATAATTGTACCATATAATTTTAAGTACATAACTGCAGTCTTGGGGAGGGACCTTTTATATCAATCCTTTGCTTAATTTACTTAAATTATTTTTAAGTAGATAATGGAGAATGATATAAGACCATACCATTTTCAAACACAAATGACATGGAGAATGACCTTAAAGGTCATCATTGTCTGACCCTTGACTTTACCCAACGAGGAAGCAGACTAGGAGAAGTCAAGAGACTTACATCCTCTCACAGTGTGTATCTGTGTCTGTTAACTATGGACAGGCAGTGGCCTGCCCTGGGGATGCTGGAGTGACGTAGGTGGGCTTCCCCAGGCATGAGGATCCTGGGAGTCAGGACCTTCCTGGAGGTGTGAGACTGAATCCACATTTCCTCATGCTCCTATGAGTCCAGGTGGGACTCAGAGCTGAACCTTGAATTAGCTTCCATGTCCGTCTTCTGGGCTGCCTGCAGATGGATTCCCAGCTTTCTCCCAAAGTCCTCCCTGAATTCCAGACATCCTGGGATGGGTGTTGCTGAGAGCCTGAGACAGGTGGTGATGAGCACCTGAGCTCAGTTCAGTTACTATGGTCTTCTAGCATTTGGACAAGTGTTGTCATGCTGGTTAGAAAAGAATATATTAACGTGAAAAATACAAATCACCAAAAAGAAAAGACAAAAATTAGTTCATAACTCCATCACCCACATTAAAACCACTCACATTGAATCCTTGCAGCTACCCATAAGATAGGCACCCAGAAGAAACCGCTGTACATGTTTTGGTGATTTTTTTCCAGGTCCATGAGCATTAATGATTCTGTGCCAGGAAGGTTCACATCCCCACAGAGAACCCTGTGAGATAAGCATTTGTCTTTGTAGTCATTGTTTTAGATTGGGAAACAGAGAAGTTAATTGGCAGGCCCGGGGTCACATGCTGAGTGGCAGACAACAGGCGAGAAGGCCAGACTCCTGTATTCCTAGCTGGGACACTTTCTACGTTGTCCAACATAGCCTCTTCAGGAAAAGCACTTGTGGGCTGCTGTGAATTGTCAGCTATGGAAGAGTCCAGCGTGAATCTGTCTGTAGCTCTCCACATAGTCAGCCTGCATGGCTGAGCTGGAGTTATATGTGTGTTCTTGGAGGTGGATTGGCCATTGCAATCATTCTGACATCAGAACACTGAAAACTCTTAGGTAGACATGGTCATGATAGTACAGTCTCAGCTAAATTGAAAAAGATAATATCATTTACAGAATGACAATGACATTTCTCTTACTGTTGTCTTCACATCATTGGCCAAGTTCTTTGGTTGATTTTTTTTTTAAATAAAAGAAATCCTGACATTAATTAAGAATTGTGAAATCAATAGTTTGTACAAGAGAAGAATGACTTTCTTATGGCAAGAAACTTGCGTCTTAGGTATCTAATAGAACACACACCAAAAAATATGCTTCCTATAGACAGTCGTAAATAATCTTCTGGGCAGTCGTTTATTTCTACCAAAAATTATAGCATGTGAGTTTGAAAATATTGTTTTTACTGTGGGCTCAATTAATGTCATTTGAATTGATATTTGCCCTGCTTATTTAAATAGAACTCAATTTTTCTTCAATGGCTTTTGTTTTAGAAAAAGATTCATAGCAAAAAGGAATAAGTGTGCTTGCACTAAGTGTGCCTTAAGACATCAGAATTTTACATTGAGCTACCACCTGCCAATGCAGGAGATAAAGGAGACATTAGTTCAATCCCTAGGTTGGGAAGATCCCCTGGAGGAGGAAATGGCAGCCCACTCCAGTATTCTTGCCTGGAAAATCCCATGAAGAGAGGAGCCTGGAAGGCTACAGTTCATGGGATCACAAAGAGTCAGACACAACTTAGCTACTGAGCATGAGACTAAACCAGCAACATTTTACACATTCCTCTAGCTCCTTGCTGGGCTTCCCTGGGGGCTCAGGCAGTAAAGAATTCGCCTGCAAAGCAGGAAACTTGGGTTTGATCCCTTGGTTGGGAAGATCCGCTGGAGGAGAGGGTATGGCAACCCACTCCAGTCTTCTTGTCTGGAGAATCCCCATGGACCAGAGGAGCCTGGTGGGCTACAGGTCCATGGGGTCATAAAGAGTCGGACATAGCTGAGCGACTAAGCAGCAGCTAGCTCCTTGTTAATAGGAATCATTCATGTGAGAATTTTCACTGTCTTTTACTCAGCCTCTTGAATCTTACTCAGAGTTGCACGTGTTCATCCATTTTGTTGTGTTGTTTTGCTAGTGAGAAAAATCAAGAGTCATATGTTGGTTTCCATTTATTACAGAATCACAAATAGCTTTCAAAGTGGTCTAGTTTCATCACATGGCAGTTCTCCAAGGATTCAAAACTATTTATAATTCTGTTGTATTTTGTTATGGAGAGCCAGATGTGAGAGTCATGCATAATATGTATTTATATATCTTCGAGAATCTCAATTAGGGATCAGCAGTCTTCCTGTGTCACATCTGTGTTATTTAAATCTACTTTTGTTGTAACACAGGACCAAAATTGTGCAGTGTTATGAAGATTACTATAAATATTAAACTGATTAAAATTACATTGTAATCATCTGCTTTAGAAAAATCGCAAATGGCCTAATCATGCCCCAAAAGGAAGTAGGTGAAATAAATCATGATCTAGAATAATACTCAGCCACTAAAAAGAGAAGCAGGTTCACAGTGAGTCAAATGAGCAAGATATAGCAGTATTCTAAGTAGAGACACATCTATTTTTGTAAGACCTAGTAAATGTACTATAAAAAAGATTGGAATAATATTTAGCAAAATGCCACTCATCCTATTTCTCAGGAATAAGATTATGGTGACTTACTTTCTTATTTTGACTTCATGCCATTCTCTCAGATGTCTGCAAAATCATGTAGAACTTTTATAAAAAAAAATATGAAAATCTACACATTGCTAAAAATATGCAGTATTGGCCTTCCTCTTCTTTGGTGTTATCCACAGCCCCACTCTGTTAAAGGCATCAGTTGTTTTTTGTAGAGAAATGCAGAGAAAACTCCACCTCACTCCTTCACCTCCAGCCTCTGTGGGCTACTTACTCCATCAGAGTGATGAGAGAGATGGTGCAGAGCTGTTATCGAAACTAGGATCTCTCTGCATCCAGTCCCCACTTTTCCTTTTTGCTCATTTCCTTCTTTCCCTTCTCATCTATCCTTCAATCCTTCCAGGCTAAAAGTATCCACATACTCTGGGCAGGAAGAACAGTGGCTTCAGTGACCAGTAGCTAGCTCTCCCTGGCTGCTTCAGTGATTTCTTTCTTTTTTTTTTTTCTTTAATTAATTTTTTTTTAATTGAAGGATAATTGCTTTACAGAATTTTACTGTTTTCTGTCAAACCCCAACATGAATCAGCCATAGGTATACATACATCCCCTCCCTTTTGAACCTCCCTCCCATCTCCCTCCCCATTCCACCCCTCTAGGTTGATACAGCGCCCCTGCTTGAGTTTCCTGAGCCAGACAGCAAATTCCCAGTTGGCTATCTATTTTGCATATGGTAATGTAAGTTTCCCTGTTACACTTTCCTAACATCTCACCCTCTCCTTCCCTCTCCCCATGTCCATAAGTCTATTCTCTTTGTCTGTTTCTGCATTGTTGCCCTGTAAATTAAGGGATCCAGAACACACTGGATCCTGTCTCAGTGGAGTGTTCGAGAACCACGGCACCAGGCATTGCCATCTGACTTTACAGTTCACAAAAGTTAAAGCTGCACACATTTTACCAAGCACATTTTTTTTCAGATCAGTTGTGTATCACCTCAGTGGAAGGTGTCTAGTGATTGACACTCAGAAGTTTGGGTCTCCAAGAAAAGGGGGAGTCTGGCTTGCTTTCTGTGGAAGAGAATTTTTGTATCGCAAAATACACTTTTTGTGTTTCTAGGAAACAGTGGGAGTTGACTCTAGGATCATAGTGTTCGGGATTCCCTACAAATCCCTACAGAACAACACAAAACCCAGTAGTTTGTAATTTTCATCTCAGTGAGACTAAAAGGAGCTCGAGGTGATGCCGAAATAAAATGTAGCCTAGCCCACCGACATTAACGGAGATAAAGTGTTTAATCAGTGTCTTCTAGAAAGAAGTGACATCTGCATGGAACACCTGCTGTCTTCATTATAACTTTAAATGAGCTGTGTCTCTGGGGGTTAGCAGGCCCTTCTTTTGGCACACCGTGCTATGACAGAGATAAACTTTAAGCCCCGAGTAATTCACCATCATGTGCAAGATGCCTTTTAGGGAGACATGTGGGGGTAAGGAGGAAAATGAGCCCCTGCCTTCGATCACTCAGGCCCAGCGAGGACCATCTTGAGCATAGCTTTGACACTGTGACACTTGTCAGGTTATGACAATGTTTTCTTACCCCCTCGGCGGCCCTAATTATTTGCTAATTATTATCATTTTAATGTTTTATGCATCAGGAAGACATGAAGACAGTGTTTCTTGGTTTATGGGCATAGATGTTTCCTAGAATTCTGGATTTCTTTCTTTTTTTAATTTTAACTTTAAACTTTTTATTTTGTCTTGGGGTGTCACTGATTAACAATGTTGTGATGGTTTCAGGGGAACAGTGAAGGGACTTCGCCATAGGTGTACATGGGTCCTGTCTCTTTCAAACTCCCCTCCCACCCAGGCTGGCACGTAACACTGCGCTGCGTTCTTTGTGCTGTACAGTAGGTCCTCGCTGGTTATCCATTCTAAATATAGCAGTGTGCACATGCCCATCCCAAACTCCCCTAACTCTCCCTCCCCCTCTGGCAACCATCAATGCGCTCTCTGTGAATCTCTTTCTGTTTTGTAAGTTTATCTGTAGCATTTCTTTTTAGATTCCACATAGAAGGAATGTCATATTTCTCCCTCCCTGACTTAAACTTCAGTCAGTGTGACAATCTCTCGGTCCATCTGTGTTGCTGCAAATGGCGTAATTTCACTGTGTGCTTTGAGGGAGGGGTCTGAGCGGTCACTGAGCACCGCCCGTGTTGATGGCTTGTTTCTCTTACACTCCCGCTCAGCACCGCAGGAGCAGGCAGCCCTGCATGTGAGGGACAGGATGCATAGAAGGGAGAGAGCAGCACAGAGCGCTTTCTCAGAGAGCCTTTCAAACCAGTTACCAAATGGCAGATTATCACCTACCCAAGAATGATTTCCATACGTGGTGGCTGTGAAAATAATGTTTAAGCGGCCATGTGGTTCATCTTATTAGCCTGAGGGGAAAATAACTCACACCAAATTCTGCCATAGTGTAGATAGGATTGTTTGAAACCCAAATCAAAACATCTGCTGTTTTTCAACTGTGCGAACCTAATGCTTCGTCCCCATGCAGCTGCTGTGCACTCTAGCTCTTAGACCTTGACACCAGACAAGGGGGACATCTTCAGAGTTAATGAGCTATTAGGACATTCTTTCCTGTCAATTAACTGGTAGAATAATGAGATCAAATGAGCACTGTCCTTAAAAAACACCCAGACTTGTATTTTCTAAAAAGAGTGTCTTTCTCTGCTGTGTTAGTTACATGAATAGACAGACAACTGTTTAACATGAAAATAAAAACTGCACCTACAGCAGACAGAGGAGAGATACACAGACAGGATCCTACTTACTCTAGACTCAGGATTCACAGGTTTTCCTCTTGAGTGGATATAATGCCATCATAACAACTGCTTTCACCTTGATTGTCCTAAAGACTGGCAGACAAGTAATTAGGGGGTGAGCATGTTTTCTCATGTGAATACATATATCATATCTAAAGTTTGAGGCAATCTAGGTATCAATCCTAAATTTGAATTAGTGGGCTCCAGACCATGGACCATCTGAGGATTTTGATATTCCCCTGAATGTGATGAGCAGTTAGGGGAGGGTGTGACCAAAGGAGAGAGGGGACCATGGGGAAAGGCCCTGAGATGAGAGGGTGGCCCACTGTAGCTGCTACAGTGGTTGCAGCAGCAATAGATTTTTCAGTGTGCGGATCAGAGTGCAAATGGGTGGGAATTGGGTTGTTAGAGACTCACTAAGGGTTTTGCACTTGACCTTGGAGACAGGGGAAACCATTGAGACTCGAGTGCGGGGGTAGCAACAAGGTGAAATCTGGGTTTTAAGCTCACTTTGCTATGTGTGGGTTACAGGAGAGAGATGGAATTTGAGTTCCAGCATGCCAGGCACCATTATTTAGTGACACATGCCTGTGTATATATGTGTGTGTGCGTGTGGATATATGTGAGCTTGTATGTACATGTGTGTTCACTCGGTCGGACAACTGCAAAGGAAGTGTCACTATTTACCCATTTCAGAGAAGAGGAGACTAAACTCAAGGCAGGCAAACTGGGGTCCCATAGCTAATAAGTCATATACAGAGATTTGAGCCCAAGGAGTCTTGGTTCCAGAGTCTGTTTACTTCATCATTACATTGTTTTGCCTTTCATATTGTATTGGTAGGGTCATTGTCATAATATTTTACTTGATAATTAATATAGTTAATAGTATTCTAACTGCTACTAGTATTTTACTAGCTTAATGAACTGTTTTTGGTATTCATACTCATTCTTATAGGAATGGAATTAAAAATTGTAATTAGCTAGTTTTCTGTAAAATATTCATCAAAAACTTTCAGGCTTCCCTGGTGGCTTAGTGGTAAAGAGTCCACCTGCCAAGGCAGAAGATACGGATTCAATCCATGATCCAGAAAGATCCCACATGCCACAGAGTACTAAGTTCGTGTGCTATTAGCTACTGAACCTGTGCTCTAAAGGCCGGGAACCAAAACTGCCGAGCCCACGTGCCACAGCCTGCTGAAGCCTGTGTGCCCTGGAGCCCATGCTCTGCAACGAGAGAAGCCACCGCAATGAAAAGCCTGCACGCTGCCGCTAGAGAAAAGCCCGAGCAGCAGTGAAGACCCAGCACAGCCAAAATAAAAATAAATAAAAAAATTTTTTTAAAAGGTTCATCAAAAAGTTTCAAATTAAGTTTTCCAAATAGAGGTTTTTTAATGTCTTCTTGGTCAACGTTAACCTTCCTATGGGAATTTCTACTACACATTTCATGGTTGAGTGTTTCCAGAACCTTCAGTGGAGACATGTAAAAGTGGAGGTAACACAGCTAACACTCAGCCAACGATAGACAAAATCTTCCACTTCAGTGGAAAGTTAGGAAAGATGATATTAAATGGAAGAGAGTGGACTTTTATGAAAGGTACAGCTCACTGATATCAAGGAGAATTAAAGGAGTATTTGTGACCACACTTGGTTTCTGGAAAAAAGAGAATCACCATTGGATCCGGCATGACTGTGGGTCCATCTAAGGCCTATAAGACAAGAAAGGTCAAGTGTACTGTTACTGAGTAACTTGAGACGATGTTTCAGTGATTTGGGTGATTTTCAATCCTGGCTGCCAGAATCATCTGAGGACCTTTTAAAAATTATTGGTGCCTGGACCCCCAAATAAACCAGAGTCCACAGCCAGTGGGGCAGGAGTGAGGGGTGTGTACACGGAATCAGCCATGTGGGCGCAGGCACTAGGATTGCATTATGAGTATCCTATGATTCTTGCAGGTCTTCACATGGGGAGCTCCTTGAGGACAAAGGAGAGAGGTTTCCATTTATTTCTGTGTCACTCTCTAGCTGTAGAAAAAGACAGAGGGTACCTTTTTAAAAAAATTTTTTTAAATTGAAAGTACAAATAGTACCATCCATTTAGTAGTTACCTAGATTTCTAAATTCTATGTAATGTTTAGAATATATGGTAAACCCATATTGTGCCAGGTATGAGCAAGGTAGCCACCTCTCTTCCCCTTAAATGAAGATGAAAACCAAAGTCTCTGCCTACAGGAAACTTAGTTAGTGGGGGAGAGAGAGAGAAGGTTGGAAGGAGGGAACTAAAAAGGAATCAGCAGAAACAGCCATTGTCTGGGTGAACCTGTTGTTAATCAAAGAGAAGGGTGACTGATGGTCTGGAATATTTAGGAATGGGATGGATTGATGGGAGGGAGAGAGGAAGAGAGAGTGGGTTGTGAGTGGTTTCCTCTTAGGTTTCCATGAAAAGAAAGGAAACCATTAAAACCAACTTACATCACATACTAATTCTTATTGGAAATCATGCAATTAAGAAACTATAGAAGAGCATGTTTGTTTTTCATTTATTCTGTTTTTTAGGCTTGCCTTTATTGATGAGGAATGTTGACATAAACATAAAGCAGCACATTTTAATGATTATTGCTTGTAGTGTGTTTTCTTTTTTAATTATTTTGCCTTTTAACATGTTTCTTATTACAGAGGCATGAGATTCTTTTCCAGGCCTTTTAGTGATTAGGAAATTTGCAATTCACAAGAGCACCAATTAGAGACGATTATAACCTGACGGGCACAACTCTGCCATTTGAGGAGAACTCAGCTGACACTTTCAGAAACTGTGCAAAAAAAAATGTTAGTCTAAGAGCCCTGTGGCAGCAGTTTGGCCTTATAAGAATTCTGCAGAGTTCTTGTTTGTAATAATATAGTTATTCCTTGGATTATAATAACTCTGTAAGAGCCTTAACACTCACCACCTTGGTCCTAACCCCCTTGGCACAATGCATCCTAGAAAGAGAGGGTATTGGCCGGAGCCACACGGCTTGACCACTCGTCCTGGAGTCTGCAGCATCATACTCCCTGTTAAGAGCTGTTTTTTACTGTATCCTCCAAGTTCACTTTTAAGCATAATATGCGATCAGAAAAATGAACGGGATTATTCAAAGAGTAATAATACACATTCTCACCATTACAACTATAGGATTGGCCAAAAAGATTGTTTGGGTTTTTCATAAGCTGTTATGGAAAAAACCCAAATGAACTTTTGGGCCAACCCAATACATATCCCCCTCTACCTTAGAGGGTTGTCAATAAGATCCTTTGGTGCCTGCATTTGCTTTGAGGAGTGTCTGTTGACCAACTAGAGCAGAGAGGTGACGATCTATCCTTTAAAATAAATGTTAACAAGTTCCATCGACCAGCTTGCATCAGCTTGTTTTCTAACATGATGTTGGGAACTCTGGTGGGTTTTCTGGCATTTTGTATTTAACTGAGCTTTCTTGTGGATGGATCCAGAACATCCTCCAACTAGATTTTCTTCTTATGCATTGAGTGTCTTGATGCTGTGAATTTTTGGCCAGATTTATCTTTAATTAATTGATTAAGTATCAAATGATTTTTAAGACAAAATTAGGAGTAAACTTATATTTTCTTAGTCTAATTTTATAACCTTTGTACACAATTGGATTTTCAGTTGGTATCAGCCCTAGTATTGACATTTTGCTAAATGCCAAACATTAGCTCTTTGAATTGAGGGGGACTCCAGCAAATGCTTCTCATTCATTCCCTAAACACTACCAGCAGCATCCATGTATTGGGCCGTCTTCACACAGTCAGAAATGTGCGTCTTTGGAAGGACCTTTTAAAGCAGCATAAAGCGAGAATAATTCTCTGTTTTGAGCCCCCTTGCCCAAGTTGCTACTTAAGAGGATCAAAAAGTTGATTAACCCAACTTAATTTAAAATTGTCTTATGGTAGTTATTTTACGGTAGTTATCAGATACAGTTCATCTAGACAGCCGAAGCTTTGCCTATCAAGAATTTGGTTTTTTTCTTTTGAACTTTTTATTTTCTATTGGGGTATAGCTGATTAACACTGTTCTGATAGTTTCAGGTGGACAGCGAAGGGACTCAGCCATGCATATACATGTATCTGTTCTCCCCCATCAAGGCTTCCCCATCAAGGCTGCCACAGAACACGCAGCAGAGTTCCCTGCACTATATAGTAGCTGCTTGTTGGTTATCCATTTTAAACATAGCAGTGTGTACACACCCCTCCGTTTCCCCCAGGCAACCATAATGATGACTGTGTTTTAAAAAACATGTAAAGCAGGGAAACAGGGCAAAGACAGGAAGAGCGGAGAGTCTGTCTCCGCCTCAGTCTGTGAGGAAGCCCTTTGCAGCCTGCCTTTCACGCCTCCACACAGTGTGGGCTTCACAGCCAGTCAGGCCCCAGTTGGAGTCCCAGCTGTCTCTCCTTTATCAGCGAACAAGGTAATTAGGGGATTTATGGGGATTCTGTGGCTGGTGGCTAGACCCTCCTCTCCTCCTCTCGAGGCTGTGGTGACAGCCGCCTGAGTCCTGGGATGAGTGCCCCCACCCCCCAGCACCCAGAGAAGGCCGTGGGAGAGCTCCTCCTCTTTCACACGTGCTGTCTTTGCTTATCTTAGGCCACTGGCTAACATTTATCTTTTGGCATTCATTTCAAGCCATCCTGGAGATACCTCCAAAAAAGATGATAATGGTAATGAATGCTTAAGCACTAATATTTAGCAAGCCCCCTTGTATGTACCAGGCCCAGCAAGGACATTACATGCATTTTTACCGCCTGAGCTACCAGGGAAGCCTTACATGCTTTTTAAAAAATTTACTTTGTATAAGAACTCATGAGGCAGGGCACAGTTGAGGCATGTATATTAAACATATTAGGCCTTGGTTCTGATTCCAAAGCACTGCATTCTGCTCCAAGGATCTCATTCTCAGAGTGTGAAATTCTGTTTCTACCCCCATCCAAAGCCTCCCGGGTGGCTCAGTGGTAAAGAACCTGCCTGCCAGTGCAGGAATGAGGGTTCTATCCTTGACTTGGGAAGATCCCCTGGAGAAGGAAATGGCAACCCATTCCAGTGTTCTGGCCTGGAGAATCCCATGGACAGAGGAGCCTGGTGGGCTGCAGTCCATGGGGTTGCAAGAGAGTCAGACACAGCCTAGCAACTGAAACAACAACTGAACAACAGCCAGCCAGCACATACCTTGAGCTGGGTGCTGGTCTAAGCCCTTTCTATGTGTTAAATGAATTAAGGTTCACTGTAACTTTCTGCAAGGTCTGTTGATGTTCCCATTTTTCAGATGAGAAAACCAAGGCACAGAGGGGCTCAGTAACCTTTCCGCTTCCCCAAGGTCACAGAGTGTAAACTGGGTCTCAAACTCTGGTTCTTAAAGCCCCCAGCTGTCCTTCCCTTTTAACTTAAGCAGTTCTTAACACTTGGTTTACAATAAGTCTCAGACTAATTAATGAAAAGACAGGAATTTTCTCCTCCTCACCTTAACCATCCCAGCTATTCTTTCTGCTTTTCCAGTGAACTTACAGAATTCTTTTCCTTATCCTTGCTACAGTCCTTCTGAAGTTGTGATATATTGACTGTTTCATCCAAAGGCTAAACCAAGACTAACGCCTAAACAAGGAAGAACAAATAGTGAATTCATTAACTGGGAATCTATTTACAATCCCCAAAGCTCATTGTGCAGGCAGTGCTTCTGTATCATTTAGAGTTGCTAATAAACGAAAGTCTTTGCATCTTTCCAAGCATCTTGATATTTACCAGTCTCATATTTTACCATAGGAAGCGGCTTCAACAAGCATATTCATGTGTTGACAGTTCTAATTAATACAAGTAATTAGTCCTGACAGTAGAACTGTGAAAAGAAGACCCATTCATAAATTTGCTAATTATGTCACTCTGCTCAGAATTTAATTGCAGTCTAGTCTTTAATCATTTCTGTATATGGGCAAAAGGCCAGCTGACTAAATTCTTCAGACTTTTACATTTACCACTAGTAAAGGAATTTTGTCAAAATTAATTTATCATTGGAACATAATGGTCCGGTGTGCAGAAGTGGTGAAGAACACAGCTCCTTCTGCAGAGAAACAAACAGGAGAATGGGGTAAGCCAGGCAAGGAAGGAGGGAGGGAGAGAGGAAGTCATCAAAAGCATCCACATCCTTTCTTACATAGCTACAT